TTTTCGTCAGCTTTCACGAAATGGGCATTTACGATTTACCCGCGACGATCTCGTATATCAAGGATACGACATCGCAACCATTGTATTCGTACATTGGTCTCTCGATGGGTACGACTGCATCTTACGTGATGGCAGCGGAACGTCCGGATATTGCTCGAATGGTTCGAGCGATAATTAGTCTCGCGCCTGTAGTTTTTGTGAAAAATACAATAACTCCAATACGAGTCTTCGCTCCTCTTGCGAACGAATTTCAGGTAATTAATATACCGTTGGGAACTAATTTTATTATTATTATATAGCGATCTAACAATTTAATATATCCAACAGTCAAAAAACAGTCTCTTGTTAATTTACGTTGTCTTATAATTTTACGCTGTAGTCTGTCCCAAAAGTAATGAAATTATTTTTGGCGTCCCAATCAGAATTGGCGGAGAGTGGATTCGTTAGTCGTGGCCTTTGATACGGGATGTCAATTGTATACAGTCTGATTCTTCTCAGTTGCCACTGAGCTTTTCTAGTAATCGATACCGTCAGTAAAGTGCAATGTAATTTTTGTGTCTTCTCGAAAATTTAGCAGTCTCGAGTAGCGATTAAATTCTGCGTAAAATAGAAAAAATCGAGCTTTTCCGAAACGTTGGAGATGCAGTTGAGAATAGCTTATGGGAATACTGCTTAATTTATCTTTAGAATTTGATCGCGTAACGCTTCTCAAAATACAGCACAGTCTGTTGAATTTTCGCCCGTGACAAGACACAAAAATTACAACGTATTTTACTGAATCGACTATTAGAAAGGTTTGGAAGCAATTAAGAAGGGTCAGATTGTACACCTGACGTCCCGCATCAAAGGCCTGTCCAATGGATTTACTCTTCGACAATTCTGATTGAGCCCCCAAAAATAATCTCTTACTTTTGGGACGAATCATGTTATATATATATGTATGTATATATTTTTGATTATAATTTTAGTAAAATATTCATTAACAAATTAAGTTTAAGATCAAAGGTCGCTGGTATAAATCCAGTTGGAATCGTTAAAGTGTTTCACAAATATTTATTCATTTTTAAATAAACAGTGAAATTATACAAGTAAATTATGCCGCGATTAAAAGATCCGGTGATTATAGATA